AGCAGCAGAATTAATGAAGCCTGGTTTCTAATGATTTTTTCCCTTCATTCTCCTTCCCTGTCCCCCTGCCCTGCCATCATGTGGGTTCTCTGATGGCTAATAAATGGGAAGGAGGAAAGGACATATCAACCTTTTACTCAATAGGAGCACTAACAGTATCTCTCATGCCTGACTGTCAATTTTCAGAAAACTTGTCGGACCTCATCCCTGAGGACACTATCCCCACGCCAACCTGGGAGGGAGAAACTGGTGCGTGTATTCCGAAGTTATTAAGGTTAGAAAAATGGGTGTATATGCACACAGACCAGTAGCTAGGTATCACAAGAATAAAAAAATCCATTTTTTTTTGTTTCCCCCAAAATGTCAGTGTTTCCATTTTTATCATTGTGCAGGTCTAAACCAAATGCCAAAATATCAGAATTGCCCACCAACTAGAAACTCTAGTCATAACTGTGTTTCAAGAGCTGTGCTGCATCCCCTTTTTCACAGGATGTTGTGCAAGCCCCCTAGTATGATTAGCATCATTGCTCTGGTCTGTGTTGAAGTAACTAAAGTGCATTTAAAAATGTAGGGGGACAAATATGCTCTGCTTCACTACAGAGACATTTGTCCTCCTTCTATCACGAGCCTCCCTCGCACAGAGCAGCACTCACCCAGATCCTCACCCAGCACCAGTTTCTTCTTGGACTTGCCTTTCTGTGGCAGCCAAAAAGATCCGGTGGCCAAGTGCAAAGCCTGGGCCTTTGCCCCATCAGCAGCACCCTGCTGCCAGACCGCTGCTGCCACTGCCCTCTTTCTCACAATGCAATGCTGGAGAAAATGACACGAGGAGGGAGGCAGACGGTGCAGAACCTCTGCTGGCATCGGGGCTGCTCTCAGCCCTGGCTCTGATTTGGATGAAGAGCTGGATGCTCGCTGTTCAGCAGCTTATTCTGGGCCAGTCACAGCTCCCAGAACATGTATACACAGCTTTCCACAAACCTCCTCCAGGCATCTACACACGGCTTGGAGCACAGCTGCAGATTTTTCTACATGGGAAAGCTAAGCCTACTATAACAAAAGGTGTGAAAATAAAACGTTCTTTTTACATATGGAGTCCTTATTGTAGCTATGTCCGTTGTGAAACACAAGAAAATAACAACACTCAGTCCAAGGAACACAGGCATACTCTCTACCACCTGAAGCCTCACCTGCCACTCTTATGTTTGGAGACATGATCAGTTCCAGCCAGAGTGTGGGATGTGAAATGGGATGAGGGCTGCTCCATTTCATTAGTTGAAATATAACCAAAGCCTCCTCTCAAGCTGTGGGGTTATATTTTCATACTGTGTGCATATGGACAGATAAAGGGCTGTGTTTTTCTGTCCTAAATACAAAGCTGTCGAGGCTCCAGAGCCTTACCTATGGCCTTTCTTTGCGAAGCCTGAGTTAGGCCAGAAGGTCGTGCCAGAGTGGGCATCTCTGTGGTCCTCGTGACAGAGGCAGGATGAGATAAACCCACAAAGGACATGTCTGAAGAATACGTTGACCCATCTGCTGTGGAGCTTGGAGTGATGGAGCCTGTGACCAATAGCTCAGAAGACAGCTGGAAGGATGTCATCTCTGTGCTGTATGGAAAAAATGACCCTTCAGTAATTTGTCAAGAAAATGATCTTTAAAACCAGACCAAAGCATACACTGGTCTCTTTGTTGACTAAATAAATAAGTGAGAGTAGGATATTATATGGGGACAAGTCATATCAATGTTAACCTAGAGAATGATATCCCAGCTTCTTTCTCATTTTAAAGCAGACACAGTCCTAGCAGACCAATACTGCATCGCGATACAGCCAACAAACCTGTCTTCAGCTCTGAGCAATGCACTTGTACCCTCTAATGAGTTTGTATGCTGGGTTGACTATTTGTCACATCCTGCCATCTGAGCAGGTCCATATCTGTGATGAGATCTTTGCATTCTTGTAGGCTACCAAAGCTGCCAGGTTGTGGTAGCTTTTGGCTGAAATCTGTAACTTTAACTCTCTTCTGCATGCTACCAAGGGCAGGAGCAGACAAGAGTTGAGTGTGTAATGCCTGCTCCCTGGGCGAAATGAACCTAAGCCAGTTCCCATCTGGAAGCCACCTTACCAAGTCAGCACAGCACCACATCC